TGATGTCTATAGTCTGGGAATTATTGCCACAAAATTATTTTCTACTAATAATGATGAGTAAGAAATCTATTTATTTTAATTTTATCAACAAGAATGATAGAAATACTAAACATGATAAAACTACTATAAATATGTTACAAAATTAATGTTAAACTTTGAATGTGTTTTAGGGATCCATTGGATCAAGAATTAAGATTAAGAAATAGTATCAAAAAAATGATATTATTTCCCAAATGGGAGAGTAGACCAAAGTGTGATCAGTTGATATTAGATATGCAAAAGTGGACACTCGAGTGGAAACAAATTAGTGATCAATTTTCAGATAAAGAAATAATGCAAATCCTACATGTGTTGGAAGCAAATAAATATTTAACACAATTTTTAAGTATAAAAAGTAATCATAAAATTGAGGAAATTAGCTCAATGTTAGAAAAATTAGAAATGAACAAGGATAGTTCAACCGATAAGTCTGACTCGGGTATTTGTTCATTAATACCAACACTATCAGACATTTCCAGTGATGGCAGAAATCCAAGTAATTTTATATTATAAAAATTTATGAGAAATTAAAAATTAATTATTTTTTGTATATTAGGTAGTGATTGGAAAAATAGAGATGACATTCCCATTAAAGAGCACTATTTCGATGAAAACTTTGAGACTTTAAATGTGATTGGAAAGGGAAGTTATGGGCAAGTTGTTAAAGTAAAGTTTAATAAGGATAATGGACTTTATGCTGTTAAGAAAATTATTAAAGGTATTTTTGCGCTTTACTTATAGTGAATAAAATTTTAATATTTTTCATAAATTTATACAGAGATTGATGACCAGAATTATGAGCGAAATATGAGAGAGTATTTGAATTTATCAAAAGTCAAAAGCGATTTTGTTGTCCATTATAAGGACTCGTGGATTGAGAGCCAAAGCCTTTACATTCAGATGGAGTTCTGTGAACACAATCTCCAAGAAATTCTTAATTCAAAAGATATTTTATTTAAAGACAGACTAAATGACCCGGAATTAGCTTTAATTGAATATTTCATTACATACCAAATAATAGAGGAAATAATAAAATGTGTCGACTTTTTGCATTCACAACAAACTCCTATTATTCACAGAGACTTAAAGCCACAGAATATTCTTGTTGTGAATTCCGTGACTGAAAGACATAAACAATTTATTAAATTATGTGACTTCGGACTCTCCAAAGAAATACTTTATAGGGGAATGACTAACACTCAGCGCACCGGTACTGATAGATACAAGGCTCCTGAGGTCGACACGAGTAGGGATTATAACACAAAAGCCGATATCTATAGTTTAGGTATCATTTTTATGGATATATTTGGAGTTAATGTATACTCGTGAGTAAAACTTCTTTATAAAAAAATTAAACAAAAGTAATTAATTGAGTTTTCTCTCAAAAGTTGGACCAAAAATATAAAAGGATTTAACGATGAAATAAAGGAAAAGTACAGTAATATTAAGCTAAAGGAATGCATTGAACTGATGTTACGTCAACCGGACTATAATAACCGGCCGGACTGTCGGCAATTGTTATCACAAATAAATGGATGGCATGTAAGCGCTGATGAGATCAATAATATTCAGACTTTTAGCTCAACATTGGATACGATTGCAGATTTTGAATGCAAATTTTTCCACAATTTTCTTACAACTAAATTACAGTTAAGACTTGAGAGCATAGAAACTACAGGCGCTGTACAGACTGAACGCGCAATTGAATCAAAACCTTCATCTGTAAGTGATTATAGGGAACCGTTGGATGTGTTTAACGATTTAAGATTAGGTGATATAATTGACATGAAAGATATAGTGGACACAAATAGTCCCACCATTTGGTCCGTCTATGATGGGGACGAGTATGTGATTTATGCGATTAAATCGGATGATAAGAGCTATGAGTTAATGAGAGATGAATACAAAACTGTGACCACAAGCAAGAAGTGTCGGATCGTGGGGGCGGACGACTTCTTCGGTCGAAGTGTACACACAATTCAGGAAAGGGATGTCATTGTTTCAAATGCCGTCAAAATCTATGAGAAGTATAGAAATATCAAAATTGAATGCAAACACAACTTAAGGATGCATTTCATCACGAAATGTCTCTTTGGGTTAGAGTTTTGTGAATCATATGGTTGTGATTCCGGTAAAGACGTGACGTTTTTTGGTTAACTATTGAGAATTATATGCAAACAAATCATACATTAAATAATCTGATTGTATAGATATTCATATTAAAACATTATTTGGTAATATGCTGATAAATCCCAATTTATAATAGATTTTACAAAATAATTGTTATGCAAATGTTAATCCCTGTTATACGACATTTTATATTATAATATAACCATAATTAAAATATTTTATAATAAATCTATTACCTATTAGTAATTAAAAAACATATTTGAAATTTTGTTATTATTGTGTAAATACTGTATATAAAAATGGATTCATTCTTACAATTTTATATACTGTAGTATAGTTTGTTTGTCACATAATAACCCTGTATCAAATACATAAAAAATAAACCTTTAAATAAAATAATGAAAATTAAGACAATGTTATTAAATAATTCATTGTTTTTATTAATTGGTGTCATTGAATGTACTTTTGCTCAATACGAGTATAACAGTGAATATGTAGAACCTGAAGAATATAGAGGTGGACCCAGGGATTGGTACGGAAACCCACGAGAAGGTTATGGTGACGGACAGTATGGCGGAGGAGGTTATGGTGAGTGGGGACAACCCATACGGAATAAATATTGGGGAAACCGTAGACACAGATATGGAAACATATATGGAAACAGAGGTTTAGGCGGAAGATACCGTCCCTCTCGTGAGGAATTTTATGGCGGAGAATATGATGGCATTAGAGGTGACGGATATGGACGGGAAGAGTCGCGAGAATATAGTAGACCTCATGAAGAGAATAGACTCCCAGAAGAGCGTAGACCTCTAAAGCTTCCGAGACGTAAACCAATTATGAATTACGCGAGTCTGNCACATGTAGGATTTGCATTATTTCTTTATCTGAAAATTTATCACTAATTTGTTTCCACTCCAGTGTCCACTTTTGCATATCTAATATCAATTGATCACACTTTGGTCTACTCTCCCATTTGGGAAATAATATCATTTTTTTGATACTATTTCTTAATCTTAATTCTTGATCCAATGGATCCCTAAAACACATTCAAAGTTTGACATTAATTTTGTAACATATTTATAAATAGTAGTTTTATCATGTTTAGTATTTCTATCATTCTTGTTGATAAAATTAAAATAAATAGATTTCTTACTCATCATTATTAGTAGAAAATAATTTTGTGGCAATAATTCCCAGACTATAGACATCACACCTCTCGTCGTAGTACTGGTTATGGAGCACTTCGGGTGCGATGTGTTCAATGCGTTTACTGTCGACCACTTCAGAAATGCCGAAATCGTAGCGATGTTTACGTAAACCATATGAACTGATCTTCACAGACATGTCGTCACCGATCAAACAGTTTCTTGTATTCAGATTCGTGTGAATTATTTTCGGATCCAAACCATGCAAATAATGCAGTCCTTCGACAATCTCTTTAAGTATTTCACTGGATATGTAGTAATCAATTGTTTTCATTAATTCATTGTTTGATTTCTTTGGGAATATTCTGTTCTTTTCATTAATAACTTCTTCAAGAGTTTGTTCACAAAATGGCATTTGAATGCAAATGCAATCATTTGGGACATCAGACCACATGTCTATATATTGCATAACATTCCGGTGCTTTAACTCTAAGTATTGCTTTTGTTCATTAAGTAATTCATTTTCATTGGTCACATCTGTTGATTCAAACAATAATTTAATAAACTATAAAATTTGGTTCAAACAAAAAACATACAATTAAATGAATACAAACCCCAAAACATGATCTTTTTGATGGCATAAGTTTTGTCATTGAATTTATCGTATGCTTTATACACAGCACCCAAATATCCTTTTCTGAATTCATCCATAACTTCTAGATTATGTGAATCAACACTACGGACATGTGGTTTGCACTGCGAGGTACTATCAAAAGCATTAAAAGCCCTGATGAATGTTCCTCCTAAAGGCGATAATCTTTCTTTTCCAGTCACTGTAATCACATTAACAGTGATTTGATGTGTTTTACGGTAGTATTCCTCAAATGACTTGAAAGCAGTTTTTGTGAATTCTTTTGAATCGCATTCATAGATTAAACCGGAAAAATCTCTGGCAGTCAGTTGATACTCGTTAAAGCAGTCATAGACCACATTCATTTCCACAAATTTGAGCTCGGTGTTTATTATTTCCATTGGCTTTTCCACATCAAAGTCATCACTAAAATAAATGTAGCCATCGTTTGACATAAAATATATATCAAATTCTGTGGATATAATATCAGTGATTATCGACTTGTTGAACAGTATGAGTGTGGGTGTTTTATACGACCATGCTGACTCGTAACTACTACCGCCCCACACAAACACACTATTATTTGTGGCTAACGCTACCGAATGAGTGCCACCACAAGATATCTTGTTAATTTTAATATTTTCAGGAAATTTAACCTTGGTTGGCTTCACGTGGAACCGGACACCACTCTCCCGTCCCATCTGATCGTAGCTGTTGTCACCCCAGGCGTACACTTCGCCCGTTGAGGTCAGTCCTAATGTGTGGTTCAGACCACAACTGATGTTAACAATGGATTTGTCGCTCAAATAAGTATTCAATTGCGCGGAATGTATGGTATATTTATCGTGGGATCCAATGCCTAACTGTCCGCACGTGTTGTAACCCCAGCAGAAAATCTCATTTTTCTCATTCCTGGCGAACATATGACTTAATCCGCGATATATTTGACAAATATTTTTATAACTCAATTCTTTGACAAGTGTTGGTTCACTGACACCCGTCTCGTGACTAAACCCAAGACATCCGCTATTATTAGATCCAAATGAATAAAATTCATCCTTATTTGTGACACACATATAATTTTTGCCCTCAAAGTCATTGAACACATAAAATAATCGTAACACTATATTATTAACAGTTGACCAATTTGACCATGATCCTTTATTAGGATCATTATCAGGCATGTAATTTATAAACTCCATCGCAATGTTATTTAAATGTCTATTAAAAATAAGAAATAATTAAACGTATTAATAAATTAAATAACACATTAAATATATAGAGTTTTGAAAATAAAACGTATATTAAATTTATTTAATTAAAATACACTAATTAATATACCTGTAGGAAGTTTCATTATTTTATCAAATAATTTTTATTGGTTAACAGATTATCACAATATAATAATGATATAAAACAAACTCATTCAATGACTTTTGAATAATATAAGACTTATATTATAAGTTAATATAGTTGTATTAAATTATAGAGTATTTATATAAATACTGTAATATTTATTATAATCAGCAAAAAATTTATATTTTAATTACATAAACCATAAGGTACATGTTAAAATAATGACATTTAAACATTTGATTTTAATATAATAAAAATATTTAACGATATTTTATTTCTACCTGATCTGTTAGCTAATGGCAATAATCTTTTTATACTGTTTGATAACATTTATTGTTTTATCATATAAATGAAGTCAATATTTTTCGTTGAAATGAATAAAATATTTTGTTTTGTATCGGAAACTAATAACAACAACATTTATCATTTTTAATGATTTCCTGAAAATATTTTATTTATTAAATAATAAGTACAACCTACACTATTGAACAAAAATTGAATCATACAAATTGTAAAGTACTTACAGTTATTAATATTATATTTTTTGTCCAGTTTTGATGCTTAGTGATATGCAATTGTAATTTGCGTTGAATTGAATGAAAATGTAATTAAACTGAGTAAGCATGTTTTTACAAAAATGTATGAATGAAACAATAGAGTTTGTAATATAAACTATATATTAACACATTAATCAGACATTGTTAACAAAAGCTCACATACTCTGTCATAAAAGTATTCAATGGTTTACAATAACACTCTGCAGTGAATGATATATTGAGGGGTTTGCTGAATGAGTGTATTATATGGTGAGGGCTTAAAATAGAACAGGAGTGTCCACTACCTGTCCAATTAAGTCTTGTTTGACCCACAAATGCATACATATGTTACATACATACATAATACAATAGTTTGTTTAATTTAATTGTTGAAATTAATTTTAAATTGAAAGTATTTTATTAATTCAAATGAAACATTAAAACATTGTGAATATATTTGCCAATTCTAGCATACATTTAATAAAATGCTATCAACATTATTAAAATATTTATCGTGCAAAACACTTTTCAAAAATTACAATATTAGTTGCAATAAATGATTGCTTCCCATTATACACACCATTTGTATTATCTCTGATAATTAAATACTAATTGCATTAATTATAATTTATCTCTAAATGTGCTTGTTGTTATTGACAATATTCTCGCAATAAAGTATAGATCAATTGTCTGGCCGGATATTTCCGTACATTAAATGACTCAATGATTGCTTCATTAATGTTTAAACTTTGTTCAGATATCTGCCATCTCTTCATATTGTCCACCAATTCAGTATATGATAAGAAATCATTATTCCTTAATCTATCCTGATCAATTAGGTCATCACTTATGGCCTTTATATCTGCTTTCCTTTGGTTGCCCACAATTTCGTAATTCTGTGGACTTTAATAATAAAATAAAAACAATAATTAATTGCAGCATATATTTAATTCATTAATATTTAACATACTTGCGATTATTGAAATCAAACAATTCGGTCAAACTGTAACTCAATTTCATGATATCGTAGTGACAATATTTTTCCCTGTTGTTATTCTCACGATTAACAGTAATGGACAAATCAAAGTCGGCTAACTTTACCGCAAGTTTCCCTTTAAACTTAGTCAACAAAACATTCCCAAAGTGTAGGTCACTGTGAATAACATTTACAACATTGCCGTGGATATTGCCATGGATATTGCCGTGGATATATTTGAGACAATTGACCAGTCTCAAATAGAGTTGACAGCATACAAAAAACTCCAGTTCCGGCATTGGTTGCCAATCCTGTCCGGCACGGAATATCTTATACCTTTTGCTGAGAAATGTTTTCAAATCCATTAAACAGTATTCCATTTGTATGTAAAACAGGTCCTTATTCTCCTTATTCTCCTTATTTTCAAACCATGAGTCCATGTGCTGCACCACATACTGTTCCGCATCGGGATCTTTATGTAATAATTGTAGTATTAGCGACTCATATAGTCCAGCATCGGTTTCTATAAATATAATTATAAATTAATAGCAAAAAATAAATATTTATTTAAATGCCTTTCACAGCGACTGACTCAATGTTTTGATGACTGACACGACATTGTTGTCTAAAGTTTTTACTTTATACACCACTCCTTTTGTGCCGGCTGCTATTTGGACCGCACGTCCAAATGTTTTTACATAATAATTATCACGATACTCAATATTTACATTTAAATTTGGTGTCGTCATACTTTCTTGTTTAAATTGAATTTTAAAAATAATTTACATTATTTTTATAATACAGTATAATTATAATTTACTAGTATTAAATATGAAACCACTCGGAAACATTTTATATAAAAATGAATGCTAATTGTCAAATATACAGAAATATTTTATTATCATGATTCAAAGTACATACTAGTACTGTAACTCAAATGTAATTATATAACTGATATACTGTGCTATTCTTATAAAAAAAATTAGTCATGACATTTAATTATTAGTGAAATAATTTTTTACGCTCGCAGTAGTAAACCAGTTCTCTAGTCATAAGAATTATAACAATGATAATTGTATAGATAATTATTGATAAGATTAGTTCATAAGTAGTGAAATTCGTTAGATTTATTTTATTATAAGTTCATTTATAATTATAAGTTATAATATTTCAAAATATTACTGGTAAAATATTTTTTAAATATAAACACTTGGTTAAGTATAAACCACTAATTTGAAAATACAAATAGTTAAATATATAACATTATTAATATATTGTAAATAAAGTTATATAATATTTGTAACTAAAATATTTCTTTAAGTTAAATAGTATTTCAATATTTTTTTAATGTTTGCTGTCACTAGCTTTTGAAATTGAATGTAACAGGTTGATTTAAGAATTATAATTACCTGTATCTATAACGATAATATGATTTCATTTTGTTTAATTTATTTTTTGGACAAGCTTTTAGTTGAGCAGAAAAATTTATTAATATTATATATTAAAAATTTACATAAATCTAAATTCCTATCAAATAAATGAATAATTCATTGAATTTAGTAAAGGTCTATTTAATTTAATTATTTCATTATAATACATATGTTTTTACAAAAATTATTGACTAAATACTAAATTATATTTAAGGTTAATTTTGAAATACCACATTTTCACTTTAGATAATTATAATCCAATGAATAGATTAACCTGCTGTACTTAGATCAGATTTACCTACAGTACCTAAAATAATTACCTTAATTGGTTACAATCACTTTATAATACAGTACACGTATACATTGAATTAAGCATTTTCATATATGAATTGCTTTAAAATCATTTCAATGACATTTGTTGATAAACAATTATCAATTTATTTACAGATTATATTATTTATACATTATAAATAAATTTATCATTTCATATAAATATTGAAGTTCAATAATATTTTTCAAATAATTCAACAGATATTAGCAACAAAATTAATAGTGCCTAATATTTCATTGTAAATAATAATAGTGAAAAACAAAACAATGAAATATTTAATTTCATTTATTATACTAATATTCTTCACTGAATATTCTGTGTCCAGACATTTGTTCAAACGTACAACTGTTGAATCAAATGATACCCCAATTCCGGCTAATTTTTCCGTTGACTACTACTCGCAACTCATCGATCATTTCAATTACATAAACGACAACCGATTCAAACAGCGCTACATTATATCGACGGACCACTGGTG